ATTACTCATCAGAAGCTTCATTTATAAAATTATTAAGTTGTTCTGGCGTAAATGTTTCTGTCTTTTTAGCTATATGTTTCTCTGATTGACGTTTAAGAAACGCACGTAATTTTGAATAATTCTCTATATTAATTCCATTATTTACGTTGAGTGTGGTTCTTAGCAAGGAGTAGAAAGTCCATAGAGACGATGCTTTATATTTATTGCTAAGTTCATTAAAATATGCCAAAGGTAAATTTTCTGTAAACGAGTTACACCAATCTTGAAAATTTTATTATACACCTTTATACTTGTTTTTTGATTTTTCTGGTAATAAATTCTGTATTGCATTATTAGCTATCTCTCTTATTTCTAGAGGTGTACATAATAACTCATCTTCCCTATCTAAATTCATCTTTTTTTAGCACTATTAGAAATTGTGAAAACGTCAAAATTATCTTGTTAAAATATCAAATGACATTACTACCCTCAATGTAATAATTGACTGTTCCGCCTACTGAGAGGCGTTGCCAATTTAATAATTTTAAAATCTTTTATTATTCATTCCTTTCCAGTTGTTAAAAAATCTTTCTAACATTTTACACCAATGGAACATTTATCGACTTTAAAATTTCCAAGAATTTACAGCGCACACTATTTACATACCGAATTATCGTAGGAGCCCAGCGTGAGTTATAATAACTCACTATTAAAACTCACGCTATTTGTTTATTGATACTATTAATTGCTCAAAAGCAATTGAATAATTAATATATAAATTAATAGGAGTAGATAAAAGTCATATATATTTTTTTAATACATTATTGCTTTGATTTTTCAAATGAAATCCCTCTATAAATTATCCCAAAAATATTTTCCTATATTTATCCCACCCAACATGCAATTTTAAAGTAAAATTTATTCACATAATGAAGGTTAATAAAAAAAAAATGCAAGCTTCTCGCAAGAAAATAGCAATTCGTTAAAATGAGAGAAATCGGTAAATTAAGATAATATGCAAATGAGAATTTATTATTTTATTTTTTACGCCCCTTTATGACAGTACGTCACTGGTAGACCGGAAACACTTGTCGCCATATTCGTCTAGTTCACTGTCAATACCATCGCGATTCCAAGGTCGTTTAGGATTCCTCCTTCCTGACTATATATATATTCTAAGCTATAAACGCATAACCCGGACAGTATAGAGCGTATTATTTTCGTACGGCTAATTGGCTATTTACTGAATTCCTATTACATATTGCTGTTGGTAAAAAAAAAAAAATATTTCACAGTAGTCATAAAATATTTATTTTCAAGATTTTTAACTGTTACCAATGGTAACAGTGGTTACATGGACGCTTCGCCACTGGTAACTTATAACAAAAAAAACTAAAAGATTGGAAATTTAAAAAATTAAATTAAATGTGAAATAAACATTTCAAGAATGTATTCTTTTTATATTTAGATTGTCACCTTCTTGGATCGCCTCTAAAGTATATCAGTCTGGTTCCTATTCAAGACCTGCATTGCTATGTACAATCAAAAAATATGAATTGTCCATCCAATATGACTTTCTTGTAAAGTTATTAAATATATTGAGTACGGCACATCTAATCAGAAAGTGTTTAGAATATGAATTAAAGATAAACATTTCAAACTGAAAAATTCAATTTTGGACTTTTCCTCAAATTTCTCCATTACGGTCCATATTAGAGAAATCCTGCATTACAAACAACTTTTATTGAAATAATGTTTCTGCATAATCATAAATAACAGAAATTCTCTTAAGAGTAGAAAAAATCCACCCTATAATCAGATCTGTCGAAAAATGACAAACTTTTTGGGGGTTAAAAATAAAAAACATTTTTAATCCCTTTATTAGAATATTATTTTTATTTTAGTTTAAATAAATAAATACATTGGTGACATTACTAAACAAGCATTGAATATAATAATTAAATAAAAGTTATAAAAACAAAACAAAAGAATTTGGTGGATGTATTTGTATTATCTGTGCAATATAAAAAATAGAATAAATTAGTTAAGGAAAAAATTGCCCCTGATTTTTCACAATCTACTAAGTTACACTTAGTGCTAAAATGATTTCTTTAATTTATAGATAAAAATCTTTAAACAGCCATAATAATTTATGTAACTTTTAAAATTGAGACTAAATTATGTATAAATACTTTGTTACTGGAACGTGTACCAATATATCATTGGTCCTTATTAAAAACTGATTTACAGTCGTATTTTATACCAAGCAAGTTTTCCAAAAATAATTTTTAAATTTTAACAATAATTCAGTTGTGTACTATACAGGATGATTCTTAAGTTGGCAATTCTTTTTTAACTTGCATAGTAAGTAATAAAAATAAACATTTTCGAAAAACAAGAAAATTAGGAAGATACAGAAAATCCAAATACGGGCCTGTGTTTATCGTTTTTTTTTGTGAACCACACGGTGTATATACCATGTTGTGATCATCAGACTTAAATCCTTGTGAGAGTTTATTAAAAGTTTAGTTAACAAGACGTTTGCAAACAATTAATTGCAATTAGAGGAAATTGTATTTCTATACAATAGCGCTATTAGGCCACAATGGCTGTGTTAACTGTTGTCAAACTTGTAATAATGTGTAATCGGTGACTATAAGTAGAATTTCACGTAAATAAGGTCCGCGCGGATTCCGCTGTGTCTGGATGCGGCCTAAAGCAAGTTCTATGACGATGAACATGTCCAATGGTTGAGTCGCACAGAGTAGCGTGTTGTGTTGAAGGAAACGGTAATAACTTTAAACACAAAATTAGATAGGACCGTAATTGTAAATTGATTAATTTTTTTTAAATGTTTAATTCAATGACTTAAAAAAAAAGTATTAAATTAGGGTTCACCCGGTAAAATCATTTGTTCTAATAAGCATACCAATCATATAAAAAATTGTACATTTTATTGGACTATGCAATAAATGCTGTAAAATGAGCTTTTAAGTACATTTTAAACCAGGTACATCATTTCTCTCATATTACGGGACTGAGATGATAAGTAACATAAATTAATACCTAGGTTCAAATTTACGTAGTTTTGACATATTAGTTGTCAAATTTTAGATACTTGTAGACGGAGAAGGGTTAAAATTCGCAGATCCAAATAATCAGACAGGCAATATTGAGTTATAAAGTGACGTAGATGCTGGCATGGAATTGCATCGAAGAACTGAGGACAGTAGTAGACTGAAATAGAGTAAATCTGATTTGGGTACCAAGTCATCAATGGATCGAAGGTAATGAAAAGGCTGAAGAAACAGATACAAACCTTGGAAGTACCAAAAATAATACACTATGTGGTTTTATAAAAGCAAAAATTATTGGGAGAATATGTCCTAAAACAAACATGGGAAAACCTTACACACATCTCCAAAATTCTTGGACCCCCCTCGTAAATATTAAAACGAAATATTTATCATGGCTGCTTTTTTGTACATTTTATATTTATTTATTTCATCGTTGATAAACATCTAAAAATGTTTACAAAAACGATTTCCCACAATTTTAGGTACCAATGTTTAAAAAGTGGTTCATATCGATTTTGCTTGTTTAAGTGGAGTTTTTCTTTGCAACTATGCATGGGAATAAATTTTCAGTGTGCAATAGAGCAAGAGTAGTGACTTTGCATGATGAGGGTCTGCCAAATCATCGAATCGCAGATAGACTAAGGATTCCCCGCGCTTCAGTTATCCGAATAGTGCGTTTGTACCAGGAAACAGCGTTGACTGTAGACGTGTGACTGGGCGTCCTAGGGTAACTAATCCAAGAGAAGATCGGTATGTAGCAGGTTATGAACGTCGAAATCGAACCGTAACAATCTTAGCTGTCCGAACTCATTTTAGAAGAACGTATGGTCGATTCATTTCCAGTACCACAATACGGCGGAGACTTGCTGGAGCCAATTTACGACCTAAGAGACCATTAAGAGTACCCAGGTTACTTTTCAGACATATAGCTGCTCGTCTACAGTGGGCACAGGAACACAGAGACTATCTTTTAGCTTAGTGGTGAAATGTTCTTTTTTCGGACGAAACCAGATATGGTTTAATTAGTGATAGTCGGCGAGACAGAGTTTGGAAAGGGCCAGGGCGACTAGAAAGACTATCTTTTGCTAGAGAAGTCGTTCCATACCAAGAAGGAACGGTAATGTTTTGGGGAGGCATAATGCATGGTCGTCGTACGCAGCTTATTCCCATTCCAGACACTATGACAGCTGATAGATATGTTCGAAACATTATTGAACCCATTATTTATCCTCTCCGAAATTAAAATGAAGCCAATTTTATTTTCATGGATGACAATGCTAGGCCTCATCGCACGAGAAGGGTACCAAATCCACTAGACATTCAGAATATTCAAAGATTACCGTGGTCAGCAAATTCGCCAGATATGAATCCCATTGAGCACATGTAAGATTTCGTTGGACTAGCAATCTCAAACAAAATTAATCCTCCTATCACCTTCCAGGAAGTCACAGTCGCGGCTCAAGAAGAATGGAACAACATCCCAATGGATTACATTGACACCCTTATTGTTTCCATGCACAGGCGAGTTAATTCCCTACTACAGAACAGGGGAGGACACACCGAATATTAATGAATTTTTGATTTCGCTCTAAAGTTATTTTCTTCTGGATTTTAAATTCTAGTAATCATCTTATTATGCACTATTTTTCGTTTGTATTTTTTTCTTGTTCAGTTAAAATTTAATTCAGCCAATTTGTATTGGATACATAACCAAATTAAATGTACTATGTAACACATTTCTTGACTTTTAATAATAGTGTCTCATTTTGACAAACATAAGGGAGTCCAAGGATTTTGGCAATGTGTGTATATACATATAAAAAAAAAACGGCAGAACTACTTTCTATGAAAAAGAACCAGTTAAAATCAATGACAGGATTCATGATTAGGCATGCCATAGTAAAAGGACACCTGCACAAAATGGAGGTGTATAATGAAACCTATTGTGTCGACTTTGTCAGAACCAATCATAAACACTGAACTGAACACACTCAGTCAAAGACTTGTACAAACTTGTACTAGAAACAAAAGTCATATGAACTAACATATAGGGTAAAACACAATAAGCCATTAGGCTGCAATGTTATGAGAGACTGTCAGATGAGCCTACGAAAAAAGTAGAAAAGTAAAATAGGCTTTGCACAACAATAAAATATTGTTTCTGAGTTTATTCTTCTGAAGTCAATTTCAATGGCTCCTTCCGACCTGTTTGGGTCAAGATAAATTCCGAGTTAAATTTCTATTAATGTTCCTCCCTACTTTCTTTTGTATGCTACATACTTTTTTTGAATTAATTTTCTTATTGAATGTTTATTTCAGGATCAAAACGCATTCCAAGTTAAATTCCTTTCATTAGTGTTCGCCACACTTTCAATAGCGTCTCCGATTTTCTTTTGTTTTCCACACTTTCTTTGAACTCATTCTTAAATTTATTTCAAATGAAAAATTTAAAAAATCAAAAATAAATGTCTCTCCCTACTCACTATACATTTTCCGTAAAACGAGCATTTTTTCCTTTATTAAAATGGCATGTTTATAGATTTTTCTCTCTGCACTGCTTAACTTGAAATTGCAGTAATCACATTTTTTTAAAAAAATATAATAACTTCTTCGAGTATACTGTACACTTGAACCTGTCAAGTCCGCACTCGAGAGACAATCGATATAAATTCAAGTAATAAAAAGTAACTTTCAACATTTAATAGTTTGAAAAATTCCAATAATATACATAAATTATTTTAAATAAAAATTAAAGACGAAACTGGGTTTTACAAAACAAATTTTTTTACAATCGTCTAGTAATTTCGCTAATTGATTTCACAGAATAGCAGTGCCAATTTGATAGGAACAGTGCTTTTACGTGATCCCAACGGATGAATATTTTTCTTTGTTAAAATCAAATGCGAACCGAGATTTTTTTATCGAAAACTACGTTGTTTGCCCAATATTAAGTAAGTATAAATAAAAGTTTGATTTAATTTTTGTTTTGAAAATTATTCATCCGTACTTAAAGCTCGTATAGTTTTGGTAACACTGATTACTTTCTGTAAGACATCTAGGACCCATTTTTAGAAGAAGAAAAACAATTACTAAAGTGTTGAATGCTTCGAAGTTATCAATTTTTACACAAAGCGCCATCTCTTAACTTGTGAACGGTTTAAGGTTGATTAAAATTTGGTTCTACATGTCTAAATATTTGTAGAAGCCAATAATTGCAACGTCTATTTAGATTACTCATAACTTTCTAAAATGCCTAAATTAATGTGTATTGTTATACTATATATAGCAAAGGCAGTGTAAAAAATAAATATTTTAAAAGTTTTAATCTTACGAATTATTCTAAAAAATAGATATTACAGATTATTACTCACACAATCACATAAAAATAAAATTAACCTTATTTTTAAGGCTAAGGCTGTGACAAACTCACTAAGCAATCTCTTAATTAGCAACAACGCATCGATTTAGTCCTTTTACAACCTTTAAATTTAAACCTTACACTATAATTAAATCTGATTAACAAATTTATTATCATTATTACTCTACTACCTAAAAAAGTGCAGTAATATTTGAGAAATTGTCATTAATAATTATTGATGTTGGTCACTTTGGGATAAATGTAATTGCTATATCATTAATTTGACAAGCAAAAATATAGTTTAGAAAAATCCTCAGAGATTTAGAGTAGACAAAATAACGGTTGGAATTCATTTTAAAGAATAAACTGCAGAAGCACAGCTATCTACAAGATGTATGAGAAAGGTGAATTTCTTGATTACAAATGTCATTGAGCAAACTCATCCAAATTAATAAAATCATTGCCAAACTACTTGAAAACCCTACCGTAACATTTATTGATGTCTTTCTTAGTCCTATTCAAAAGTTAAGAGATAGAACTATTACAATTTTCACAATAAAAACCTACACGAGATGTTTGAAATATACTATATAAGCTGATGTTAAACAGGCAGGTTTTCATTTCAAAATCGCCGCCATTTTAAATATGTTTTAAGGCAAGTAGGAATTCAATAGTCGACAATTTTGAAATAACATTTCGTTTATTGTCTCACATTTCTGCTAATAATTCTGACAGTGGAAATAAAAAAAAAATAATTTATAAGTAAACTTTTTGGAATTAACAAAAATTTCTGTACAATATTATACATAGAACATTTAATTTGTTAAACAATTAAAAACTGGATTAATACATAAAAAATTTAATATTTGTTAAAACAATGAAAAAGTGGACTAATTTATTTTTATTCAAAGGTCTATTGTCCTTCCTTTTAATTCAACTATTCTACTTCAACATTTATCTCAATAACGATTTTTTCATATGAACTGCATTCAAAACCTTAGTAACTCTAATTGAAATAAAAAAATAGCATTTTTTTTTTCAACGAGTACCTAATAGACACAAGCAAATTGTTGTTTTTTTTTCTTTCGTTTTTAACAATTACGTTGGTGAAGCAAAAAGTAAACCAAAAACAACGAAACAATTTGCCTTCGTTTATAGTATAAACGTTTTAAGTGCACCTTATACTACAAATATTTAAGCTGTAAGCACATTTAAGAGCGAGCTAAGGCGAAACGCCGAACTGTTTCTTGCGCTTGCGCGCCGAACTCGCCCGAAAAATCGGCAATATTTTTGGTATTAAAGTTTTACGGATTTGCTTACTAAACATCTCAAGCACCTGGTACGTTTTAGCAGCGAGTGGCTCAATCTGAAAAACAAACGTTACGATGTAGTGTCATAAAAAAGATACGGTTCAAAATAATCTCTGGAAATGATTGACAAATTTATCTGATTCCTTAAAAGGTCCCCATCCGACAAAGAATATAAGGAATTTCTGAAATTGTTCTTAGATATTTCAATATCCGCTACAATAAGTGATTAAAATTAAATAAGGAAATAGAATATGGAATATAGAAAATATACTACTGCTCAAAATTATCATGCCACATAGAAATCTATGTATAAAGAAATGTATAGTGTATTAATCAGGATTTTTGCAAAACGACTAGGCACTTTGTTAAAAAAAAGGCATTTCATTAAACAAAAGGATAAATTTCTGCAAAAATCTACATTTTTGGACACTTTGCAAAAAGTCTGACCAGAACTAGTCAATTTAAACAATGATGATGATGGTAATATATTTCTGCAAACAGCCTATAAGTTTTGCAAAATGCCTAAACGAGGCAAGTCGTATCAAAGGTTTACATACATTGGAAATTATCAGTCAGACTGTCTTTTTGCAAAAAGACAGATTATTTAAATAAGCCTGCAACATATGGCATGTTCTTCTGTAGTCATCCAATGTTCATCCACCTGTTTTATAATATTTTTTTAAGAACAATGTTATTGAGTGGAGCGATAATGTTACATAGTAATATAGAAATTGAAAATGGAATACAGAAAATGGAAAATAAAGCAGAAAATAGAATATGGTAAGTGAAATAAAGAAAATTGAAAATAAAATATAGAAAATAGACTATAAGTAGAATATAGAATAAGAATATAGTAGTTAGAACATATAAAATCTGATATAGTAGGTAGAATATAGAAAAATCTAATGAAGTAGGTAGAATATAGAAAATCTAATATAGTAGGTAGAATATAGAAATAGAAAACAGGACGGCCAGACGAAAACGTCCAAAGCTATTATCAGGAACTTATAACAAAAGCTCAGACCCATCAATTTTTGATTAAAGGGAGACATCTTTTTATCATACCCAATTTCATCTGTAAATTGTCTCCCTTTAATCAAAAATTGTTTAAAATGTTGACGCAGTTCCAGATAACAGCTCTGGTCTCCCAAGATGCAAACTGTCATTTCTTCATAAATATTATTCTACTCCAATTTTCATCAACCAACGTTTTATATATATTGTTACCCCTACCCCCTGCAGTAGCCTGCGGCTGTTATAGGAAACGTACAAATAAAAGAAGAAGTGCAATGTCACTCATCAAACGACTGCAACAAGGAAAGTGCAATGTATTTTGTATTTATGTATGTACCTCCCTGTAATTCTTATTATTTTATATCTTTAAGTTTTTTGTTGGTTGGAATAGATAAGTTTTCGAACAGTCGGCCTCGACATTGCAAAAATTTTTATATGTTAATTGTAAATTGTACTGTTTGGAGCGATGAATAAATACTTATTGTTAGTTAAAATATTAAAGTGGTATTTTCCTCGTCCTTCGCCCCAGTTACAGTAGAAAGTAATTGCGTATTTTAGTAATACCTTGGGGAAAGCCGAAAAGAATTATTGAGTCACCATGAAAAAACTCTTAAGCCTTGGTTTTTAAGAACCTTCCGTTGCGAAATTTTCCGACGAAACTCGTCGACGGAATACGTTCGCGAATTCCGTTCGCAAAGTTTGTAGGACACCGTGTTTTTTTAAGAAGACAAATTGACCGTTTAATTGGACGGAAATAATCAATTTCAGTACGCAAATCAGTAGTTTACAATCTGTGTTGTGGCTATGGAGGGTTTTTTACAGCTTTTATTAAAGGAAGAATTTGCTGATGAAGACGAGTTGCTGCTGGAGTTATTAAAAAATGAAAAATCGGATAATATTTTTAAAAGAAGAAAATCATAAGGAGCCTATGAAGTACTAATTAAGCGACATTTATTTAAAAAAGAAGAAAAATTTCGAGAATATTTTCGATTGACGCCAGTTTTGTTTGATGAAGTTCTAAGATATATCAATTTCTCCTCATCTTCGTTGGAAAATTGGAGCTGTTCATAACTTTTATTGGACATATTTTATAACTATAATGTCCACACCTGACGAATTTCAAATAAGAACTGACAGCGGAATTGCGCTGAAACCAAATATGATTCCAACGGACAACGCCGGCGCATTCCGTTAAAAATAAACGCCTAACAGGTTTTAAAAAACGGACGGTTTGGATAGTATATTTTTAAATACGGCGAACTTCGCGAACGCATTTTGTTGACGAACTTCGTCGGCAAAGTTCGCGACGGAATGTTCTTAAAAACCAAGCCTTTAGCTATTGTCAAAGCCCTTGAACACTTCCACACTTACCTTTTTAACAGAAGTTTTATCAAGTTGAGTTACAAATTGACCAAAAACCAGTGTAACAATATATTTTTTATGCCATCAGAGAATTACTTAAACTACAAATTCAGTATTGCGATAATCTCTAACAGAATTATATAGGGTGAATCTAAATAACACCGAAAAAATTTAAGGAGCGATTCTGTAATGAAAATTAAGGGGGGTATTAGGAATAAAATTTAAAAAAAAAATTCTCCCCGGAAAAGTTTTACCCTTCCGAAGATTAAAAAAAAATTGTTTTTATTTTTTATTTTCCCTGCATATTAAGCTTGACACGAAACTTGGTAAATATTATTTGTCAATACACTTTAAAATTTTTTTAACTCTGAAGTTTGCTTAGAAGGGGTTGAAATAGTCAAACCCTAAGATATTTTTTCTTACAACTTTTTTAGATAAAAATTTTTCTTTTTTTTTGGAAAACGTGAGCATTTATGAAAAAAAAAAAAAAATAAATAAATGCAATTTCAAAAAGATGAGCTAACGCGAGGATATTTTGCCTTAAGGTAGTTCACTCGCGACAGTCGTACACAAAAATATCGCCTAATGGCGAATACCAAAAGTTCGAGATTCTCAATGCTAAAAAAATGTTATTTTTGTAAGAGAGTGTACACAACACATATAAGCAAGCATGGGCGTCGTTACACAATTCTATAGGGAGGGGCAAAATTTTGAAAAAATTTAGAATGTTTATTTGTTGGAAAAAAAAAGAAAATGAAAAATAAAAGAAAATTTTCTTATGATGGATATAATTATTCTGTGACGTCATGGCTTACTTCCGTTTTTTTCAGAAATAGAAGAAAATCGCAATTTATTTTTAATTTTTAAATGAAAATCCTCTTTCTTATTGAAAAGGTTAAGCAATATTTTAAAGATGTATGTATGATTTAGTTTTTTTTTAAAGAAGAAAGGAAAAATTATTTAACTGTTAGTAAGAAAAAAAATTCACAATTATGTCACTTTAGTAATAAAAAGATTATGTATCAATACGAAATGTGTCAATTTATGACTAAAAATTGCATAACGATTTTAGTATTATTTTGGAATAGTTCTTTTTTGGATTATATTAATAAAATATTTCAAGTAACAAAGCAAGCCTCTTTAGAAGCAAATTTGCAAAGAATGCTATTTCAAACTCTGTCACTATTGGCACACAACTAACATTATGTCGCTTTAGGTCTAAAATACCTTACAAAACCCGATAGAACTAAATTGGCGCAAATATAAATCTGCACTTCCTGGCTGATTATTTCAACGTAGGTCTTAGTTACCTCAATAGATGGTACTATTTTGGATCGTTTAATAAAACGTTTTGGTAATAACCAAAACTCAAAATCTCAAAATTTTGATTTATGCCACTTTATGATTAAAGGTGCGATATGTTAATTTTAATAAAAGTACACTGATTTGTAAAACAAGTGAAAAAATTATTATTATTATTATATATTTTTATTACTTCTGCTAAAAATAAGTAGTATAATCAATAAAAATCAATAATAAAACATAGACAGGTATTTACGAGAAAATATATGAGATCTTGCCTAAGCCTAATAAGTTGTCATTGAAGAATAGATTAAATAATGTCAAAACAAAAACATTACCATTATATAATAACGTAAAATTAAAACATATTAACCAAAATAATTGGTATATTTGTGATTTTAATTTATATTTTCTTCATTTTTAGTTCGAAAGAACCTATAGAAATTAATGATTAAAACTGGTTTCCTATCAATAAGTCACAATATTGCATTTCAATAATCAAAGTTAGAAATCTAATCATTTGCTAAACATTTAAGATTTAAGGGATGTTGAAGAATATCATAAAATAATTTATTGTTTATTTAAAACCTTTTCTGATGTCTTTTATTTCCAGTATTACTGTTATTATTACAAAAATAAAGGTTTTTTTTCTTCTTATTATACAGCTGTCCATTTATTTCTTTGATTTAATTTCGATTTTGCTACTGAAAATTTATATAATTTACAGTTTTTTTGTTAGTATAATTTGCAACATAGCAACTCCGCTTGCTCATTTTATTGGCTTTAACCTATTTTTTAATAAAAAGTAAAATGTATTCGTGTATTTGATATGCTAAAATACTTGAATTATCTGCAGCTTGCGCTAGTATCGTTTTTGCTTCCCCTACCATGACTTCGCACTGATCGAATAGACCGCGGCCATGTTTTAATATGCCTTAGCGTGCTAAACGTTCTTCCAATTAACGCTGTCGTTGGTGGAAGAGCCATAAATAATTTTTAAACCACTTTGTATGTCTGGATAAAATTCACAATCTTTGGACGCTATATTATTAATGGAGAGCTCATTGTGTGCAGAAAGCTCTTTCGTACTCAAGTTTGGTATTCAGCTTCAAAATTGTCGATTCCAAATTTTTCCACTACTTTCATTTTCTAATCGGTAGTGAAAAAAGTATTTTTTTTTATGTTTTTGGGATGTAACAGGCTTAAGGAAAAACTAACAGTCTTCGGAAAAGCGTGATGTAAGCGACTTAAGGGAATCCAGATATGCAATAAATATATTCAACTTATAATATTCTTGAACTACATTAGCCTGAATATTATTATTTCTACGAGATTGTTGTTCGTAGTGCATATCTTACGCGTTGTTAATTAAGTCGTAAAAGCCAGGGGGGGGGGGCAACTGCCCCCCCTTGCCCCCCTCAAACGACGCCCATGTAAGCAAGATAGTGTACACAACACATGTAAGCAAGTGAGTGTGTACGCCTATAGAAATTTGTGACTTCCTCATACTAATTTTTTAGTGTTCTAGTGTGCAATGTAAAACGTCGTCACTGAGATATTTGAGTTAATGAAAAATGTTTTTATATTATTTGTTATTCTAATTTAAACTATTAATGAAAATGCGTAATAATGTAATTGGATAATTTCTTAACCCTACATAATGTTAATACTTACAAAGATTGTTTTGGTTCAAAAAATTTTATACCAAATACCCACCATAATTTTCTTCACAGAATCACCTCTTAATTTTTTCGGTGATATTTAGATATATTGTAGAAAATAATAATAAAAAAAATTTAAATTAGAAAATAGAAAACAGAGATTATAAAAAAGAATACAGAAATAAGAAAAAGCGGAAAATAAAATATAAAAAATGTATGTACAGGATTATACATTTAATTTGTTAAAATAAAGAAAAACTGGGTTCATTTTTTTCAAAGAAAATACAGAAAATAAAAAATAGAATATAATAGGTAGAATATAAAAAATATACAATATGGAGATTGGAATATAGAAATATGGAGAAAGGAAAGTAGAATATCGTTGACGGTCGTGCAAAATGGTCATATTATGTTAAAAAAAAAAAAAATTATTTCACCATATGCTTTTATTGACTGCAAACTGTCTCAAAATATTTTCTGTATTTGGTCAATAGGACATGAATACTTATATCACAGCAAAATGCTACGTTTTATGTCATTCATCGTTCGTGCAAAGGACCCCACAGTTTCCTTATAGGAAATAGCTTTTGGTCCAATCTGCCAAGGGAGAACTTTATGCCCATGGGCACTTTTAATCAACATATATAAAATTCAGCAGATTCGACCGAAAGCCATTTGCCATTTGTGGCATGTGCCTTTTTTTAACGTATCGCATTTTCCATAAACCGGCAACGATATAGAAAATAAAATATATAAAATAGAATACACAAAATGGAATATAGAAAGTAGAATATAGAAAATGGATTATGTAAAATAAAATATAGATTATTAAAAATAAAATATAGAAAATAGAATAGAAGAAACAGGAAACAAAAGAGAATATGAAAAATAGAATATAAAAACAAAATATTGAAAATATAATATAGAAAACAAACTAGAAAACGGGCTTTTTAATACAAAAATCGTGATTAAAGATGGTTACTCTTTCATCATAGAACTTTTGATTTTATATTTCAATCATACTTAACGTCTTATTCTTGATAATATAAAATTTATAAAAATATTACTGCAATATTTTAAAAAACTATATTTTGAATTAAATGAATGAAATTCGCATTATAACAGCAAAAAAATGTAACCTTACATTTTTTAAACTTCCCACATTTCTCGACTGTTCTGACGATTAGACAACACTGCATGGTTGTGACTGAATAAATGATCGCTTTTTATATTAAAAGCCTGTATCCAAAAATGATGAAAACATTTTTTGTTAAATTTTCCATACTAACCTTTATCGCCTACCACAGTTGATTTGCGTTTTTGCGGATCATCGTTAGGCCTACTCCCGACTCCGGTTCTAATAACAGGACTTCCTCCTTGGTGCTGGCCGGCTCTAATGGGTTTCGCGATGGTTGCAGCCGGTCCTCGTCTCGCTAAATTCTTCTGCCGTACAGCCTCCTTAATACGATCAACTTCATATTGATATCTAAAAAAGAAAACAAATATATTTCGGCTTCGTGTAAACTCCCAATAAGGTTACGAACAAACCTTTTCCTGTCTCTCATCGCGCCCTCTTTGGCTTCTTTGAGCGCTGTCTCCAGCGCTTTCACTCGCTCCATGGTGGCTCGTAATCTTTTCTCCAATTTGGGGAGTTCGCAACGCAGATCGGCGTTGTCTCTGACGAGCTGTTTGTGAACTTTAGTGAGTTGATCGAGATTGTTTTCGAGGAACGATATCTTCTGCTTTTGGGCCAACGAACCGCCGTCCTCCTCGTTGTCTTCGGATGAAAGGTTTTTCTTCATTCTAGCCTGTAATATTTTTATATTTATATTACTGAAAGCGATTATAATGCCAAAAATACTAAAGGAAGCTCTAGGATAACCACAACTAAAAGAAAATATTTACATGAAGCAGTTAAAGTGTGAATATCACTTTATTGGAAAACCCACATACTGGTCTAGATATGTTAGACTTTTTCATTACTAAGAATTTAACAGCTAATTATATAAAAATTAAGAAAATATTTAATCTTCACATCCGATCACTCTCCAAAAATAATGAAATTGATTGACAATAAAACTGAAAAACAATGTAACCCAACCTTAATCAACAAGTTAACAATTTAGGAGCATTTCCAGAGCGTATTAAGTGATAAAATTAAACTTAACGTTTCGGTACAAACAATAGAACGACTTGAAGCAGAAGTAGGAAAATTTGTACCGCTTGGAACCACACAGTATAAATTAAAAGATGGCATAGATTGATAAACATTTTATTTAGTATGAATGACAATATTCAGACTCTTGTTGCTGTCAAATCTACAAAATCAGATGTGTTCATTATTAGCAATAAAGATGGATATTGATCAAATTAAATAGAAAGAGAAAAAAAAAATAGAAAATAACCTGAAATATCAACTAGTAACCGTTGAAAGAAAATTAAGAAAAAACATTACTCATTTATGGACTAAATATAGATGATCAAAGAAACTTCTATTATTTTTATGTTTATTCTGAGTTACCCATTTTTATTGTATTTATTGTAAATAAAATTTTATCAGTTCAAAAATGGCAAGCATTTTTTCACAGATACTTCAGTTACTTTCTTTATAATCCACACAAAAAAAAACACCGTATAAATAATATATAATACACATAAGAACAATATATTTAAACATCTTTCACAAATCGGAAGCCGGCTCTGGCCCATAGCAACAGTAAATGCAATTTAACGGTTTTTCGAATTCCAGGCATAACACATTTGTACAATTTTGCACGCCTGCTTCTTATTTAAGCGCTAAAATACAGAGTTGTCTCTCATGGAAAATTTCCAGTAATTTAAACACTAGGTTAGCTCTTTCATACTCGTATAATAAAAATAGACCGTTAAATGCAGGAGCACAGATGTAGGGGACAATACGCTATCTTTGTCTGCAACAAGAATCACGTGAAAACATCGTGTAATTTCCCTCAGCCAATCACGACGAGACACACAATTGCTAGTCTTCCTACTTACAATCGATATCACAGACGTTGAGACTCGTTCCGACCTCCGAAACTTTAACAACTTTGTTTTTTGTTCCGTCGCGTGCTCGACGCTATTCAATCATTTCACTATGAAAAATCGTTGTAAGCCGAAGCAAGTTTATAGTTAAAATTGTTAACTTAAGAACATTTTTAATTTCATCATTAACAAATAAATGTCTGGCAATTCCGCAACAAGAAGCCCACTTTACTACTAGCTGCATTACTATAGTCCACTGCTCCTAGTTGATGGAAAGAAAACCTTATTTATGTGACGGCGATTGAGAAGATTTCAAAGTCGCAGATAATAATTTTTATATGTAACGAGTATATTGAGCGAGAAGAAAGGGAAGTTAGAAACATTCAACAAGAGGTAATAACAATGGATAAGTAATGAAGCTTCGGATGTCAAATAGATCTCGCCGTTGACATCTAAAGCGAGTAGCAGACAAGGAGAAAGTAAAAGTTTTAATCGGAATAGCGCTTGATATTACCAGACATTTGGCTCAAAGTCCAATGCCAAGTAGTTTCCCCTCACCAGAAAAAGAGTGCCATCTAAAAATGAATTTAGATGCAAAAGGCCATCAAGAAAAAAAGAAAACAGTTAAATGTGAAATATAAAAAGTACTGGTTAATTGGCATAAGATTAAAATTATCAGTACGCATCAAATTGGTCATCTACAAGCAAGTCTTAAAACCTGTATGGACTTATGGTTTACAGCATAGATAAATTAATATTAAAAGATAAACCGTTTAAATGAACGGCACTGGTAACAAGTGGTTAGTTCCGGCCATACTATTTGGAGCCACCATCGCAAATAGGATGAAAGCGAAGTTGCCAATTTCCATAAACTTTCATGAGATTAGAGTTATTTCAAACGCACAAGCTGCACCTTATTTTGTTTTTGTCGTGCTCGATACCATCCATACAATGGCCATACTATTGATGGGATATTTTAAATGGAGGTTTAACAACTGTGTTATTAACCTCGTAAAAAATGAAAAACGGAATGGCGGAAGGTGAAAAACCCACAAAAACCGTCATAAAATAAAAGTTATTATGACGTAGTAGATGTAGTTCCATAGATAGGTAAGTTATTTTTATGTTAAGAAGATTGATAAGTACCGATTTGATATAATTAGTAAGTATTAACAATTTAACTTATTAAGGTGTTAGATTTGTTTATCATTGTTTTCGTATAGCCTTAACGAAGTATAATTTTATTTTGGATCGATTTTCAATTCTTTTTTAATATACTTATTTGTAACAAAACATGTCTGGCCCAGGTAATATTAAGTATTCTTGTTCCGCTCCTAATTGTTAAAATAAGTATTATTATAATATTCAGCAGGCTGGTTATTCAAATAAAACCTTTTTTCATTTTCCTTCCGATATTAAAATTCGCGAGAACTGGATTAAGAATTTAAATGTATCTTTAGATAATAAAATTCGCTATCTTTGTGAAGATCATTTTTTGCCAGATTTTTTTAGTAAATTTGCTTTAAAACGTATATGACTGACTAACTGCAAATTCTGTACCAATTTGATTAGATAATAGTACATCCAGTTCAACTATATATATACCCAACTATTTTAACCCGAGTCAGATTTTAGAAAATGTTGAGGTTGAAGCAATGAAAAACAAGAAATTAGTTGCACACGTAAACTTAGTGTTCGTGATACAATTTGAACAACCTTCAGTTAAAATGAAAAGTTTTTTCAAACTCAAATTTGTCAGATCAACTAGAACAGATTAGTTAACTATTGCACAATGAGAAATAAACTGAAAGTTTTTTCTATAAACTAATTTTAAACAAATTAAAAATAACTTTTACTTTTATAAGAATGGGCAACATTTTGATGAGAAATTGTTCAATAAGATGTAAGTACATTTTTTGTTTTTATAGGAAAGGCTTGACACCTGCATCGAAATTTGGTCCAGTTTTCCAAGAATGAGAGGAGAATACTATTAATTTCACTTACAGTTATTGTTTTTTGTGCATGTTATGTATGTGATAAACGTTTGAATGCATCTTACTTTTATTAAATGATTAAACTATACCTGTGTTTCAAAGATTTTAATGTAAATATTTTTTTCGACGTTCATGCAAAAAACAAAACTTTATTAAACTATATTTAATGAAAAAACTGGTTCTTTATTACAGTAGTGCAATAAAAATTTTATTGCAGTCATGTGTCATTTTACTACAGCGTTTTATGATCATGACAAACATAAATATTCAAATCGACGCCAAATATTTAATCCATTTTCATTTTCTGTGAGATTGTATTACGTTTTGAAAAATATTAATATTGAAAATTGTACAAATTGTACATTTACTTTTAATATTAGTGGCAAAAACAATGTTTAAGATTAATTATTGTTCATAACATAGTTGTCCCTAAAGTTTTGTTTAAATTATTTTTCTTAACACAGTTATAGTACTTTTTCAATGTTAATCGATGCTAATTATTAGTTATTAAATATTTTACTATTAAATTACGCTTTTTATTCTTCTTAGTGTCGCCTAAATAAAACATTTTTTGGTTTTTACATGAATGTAGAAAATATATTGTATTAGGAATTCCAACGACCTGTCCAAATGGCTACCAGTGGGGACTGACAGTTTAGATATGGCAACCCTGTTGTCATTAACAGGGTCAATGATACATATATAGTTATATAGATTGCTCAAAGCTGGTCGTTTGCAAGCGGCCATATTGCCTGGCAAATATTTATTAATTTGAATCGGTTTAGCAAAAATGTGTTTTAAAACCAATTTCCAGCCTTTAGATATTTAAAAAATAATAATTACTTACATTTTTACTTCAAGGCATAAGCTTATGTTTATTTTGCAAAATATGGATGATCGATCTATGTAACTATTTATTTCATTGACCTTGTCAAATCACCAGGCCAACAGGGTTGCCATAATATTGCCATATCATAACTTGTCAAAACCCACTGGTAGCCATTCAGTTTGGAATTCCTAATTGCAACTCGTGCAAAAAGTATTTATTGCACTCTACAATGTAACGTCGCGTACAATAAACACTTTTTGCACTTGTTGCATAAATAACTATTAATTTATAGTTTTATTACTTAAAAAAACTAATATTTATGTTACAGTATTTTATTGAAATATTAGTTTTTTTAAAGTAATGAATGCAAAAAAAATGTAAATAAATAAAGGACATTTGAATGAGCCGCGGTTAGGCTTGATACTCTTCTTTTTAATTTACTTCTTTTATGCTGCCTGTAACTGTCAAGTTAATCAGCCAATTGTGTAGCTTGCGATATTACCGCCAAATAGTATAACCGGAACTAACCACTTGTTACCCAGTACCGTGCATTTAAACGGTTTATCTTTTAATATTAATATTTAACTATGGTGTACAGCTTTGGTGTTGTGCTAAACCAACTAATATGGATATCATCCGGAGATGAATTGGACAATGAATTTACTGAATTTACCAGATTGTTAACAAACATAATGAGGAATTTGAAAATAATAATGAAATGGCGAATTATTGCAATAACTACTTTTCGACTATTGGCACTAATATGTTCACAAATATCCCTGAATGTAATGTGGATTTTCCTGTGTCACTGAAAAATCAATGTGTCTGAAACTGATATGCGAAAACTATATTATAAAACACATAAATAGTTTAAAAAACAATAGTGCCCCGGGATTTGATTGTATAACAGTGAAACATCTGAAACTACTACATCGGTATTTACTAGAATTGTATTGTATTTTTAATACAGGAATCGTACCTAAACAATTTAAAACTTCAATTATAACACCTATTTATAAAGCTGGTAATTCAAAATTAATAACTAACTATAGACCTATTAGTTTAATTAGTAATGTGGCCAAAATATTTGAGAAATGTGTGAAAGATAGACTGACAGATTTTTTAAAAACTAATGACTTACTTCCCAAGCACCAATATGGCTTTACTGAGGGTCTTAACTCAGGAGATGCTATGCATGAATTGATTTCATATGTTACTGATGAAATGAATACTGGTAACAAGTGTATAGCTATATTTCTAGATCTAGCAAAAGCATTTGACACGGTGCCACATCAGAAGCTCTTAAATGTTCTTGAACAGAATGGAGTGAGGGGCATCGTGTTGGAAGGTTTTTGAAAATTATTTGACACACAGACAACAGAAGGTAAAGGTCAGAGACAATGTGAGTAACCCTGAAAATATACAAATCGGAGCGCCTCAAGGGACTGTTATGGAACCTATACTATTTAATGTAAACATTAAGAGCTTAACTCAGATTGATATTAAAGGTAAAGTTGTATCATATGCTGATGATACAGTGCTAGTCTTTAGTGATAAAGATTGGGAAGCCGTCAAGACACGTGCTATAGCTGGAATGGAACATGTCAAAAACTGGCTGGATGTTTTTAATTGTCTTTGAATGTTAACAAAACAAACTACATTGCTTTTTCAAAGACAGTGGCTGATCGACCTCAATTTAGAAGCTTAACATGTCAAAATTTAGACATACAGTAAACAGAAACATCCAAATATTTAGATATAATTATAGAGCAGCACTTAAAATAGGACTGCCATATAATATATATAGCAAAAAACTTAGATTTCTGATTTATAAATTTTATCTTCTAAAACAATTTCTCAACCAGGATCTACTAATAATATTATACTAGTCTAGTAGAATCTATACTCTACGGTTTGGAATCTTAGTATGGGGAGGCCTGCATGGAACTACATTAAATCAGTTAAATGTTAGTCAAAACAAAATCTTGAAGTTAATAAATATATAAAAGAGATAGATTGTGTCCCACCATAACTTTATATAATTAAAAAATTAGCAATGTTAGATGTTTATATATTCACGCAGTGTGTTGTTATATACAAAAAAAATGAATTTTTAGAAAACCCTTTAGAACATAGACATAACACTAGAACTGCATCGAACATGTGCATTAAAGTACCAAAACCATATAGTGAGTTTTTTAAAAACAGTGTAAATTATCTAGTAACAAAGTTCTATAATGCTCTACCTCTTCATATAAAATTATTAAACAAATATAAAAATTCTGTAAAGTTAGCAAAATATACATTTTCCAAAATAATGCAAAGTTTATCAGAATATTCCAAGAATAACGGACTTAATACATGGATTTTTTTTAAATAGTTTTTTTTTTTTCTGTTTCTTGCATAAATTGTTCAAGTTTTATTTTTTATTAAAAAAAAATGTTTTTTTTTATTTCCTTTATAATTAAATATAATTAAAATAAAATTTTAATTTTTGTCAGCACATACAGGTGTTCTCACCTAGGTGCTTGTTATTATATAATTGGTTTCCATTATTGTACTTTATTGTTACTTATTTATTATTGTAACTCATTGTAACTTATAACTATTAACTATTACAATTAACTATTAGATTTAATATAATTAGAGCACCATCTTTATTACGATATGATGAACTAATTAAGGAAATTAGTTCATAGGAGTTAATATAGAAGCCATTTTTGTCCAAAATAGTACTTTGATCGGATGTGACATAACATTACAAAGAAAATTTCAAACAAACTGATTTCGGAAAATATGCACCATATCCATACATCTCTTATTATTATATCGTAGGTAAAGGTTGAACTTAGGAAATCTTGCAATTTGTTTGAAATCCAGCTTAAATAGCTATTTATGAAACCAGTTATGAAATGTCTAATTTTATGTCACGAGTGAATATTTGCGGGACGAGCGTGTTTTGGTAAGAAATTATTAACATCTAGGCAACCAGTATTACTACTTCCTTGTATTGTTAGTTGCATATCCATCAGTTTATTAACAGAACATATTAATTATTTATTCTTAACGATTTGTAGTGGTTTATATGAATTATTAAAGTTATTTCGTTTTCAAAAAAAGTGGGTTATCTTGTCGTGTATGGTTTTAATTATTTTGTGATTTAGAATGGAAAATAAGGACCAAAATAACATTATTATTAGGAAGTTTAACCAAATTCTAGTTTTATATAAACTTTCAATAATAATGTATTTTATTGATTTTAAAACCAGTTTCATAATTTTCAATATTATGCAACTGGTTGCATAAAGCAGATCATTTTGCTTCTTGCTACGATTACAAAAAAATGCCACTTTATATGTCAAAATTAGAAAAATAATTTTAAACGGCACGTTTGAGATATAAAATGGATTCCTTTTAAATGATTGACGACCTATATTACTTTTATATTTACTTTGGCCCAAAATTAGATTTTTAAATACTGTATATTCGGAAATTAGTCGATTTAACTTTTGGTCTGCAAATAGGGTTTTTATTCACAGGGATACTCTGTCCTTAAGTTAAAATTGCTAATAAATCGATTTAGATCCGATGCAATATAACGCTTATTAAAAAAAGAAGATATTTTACGATACTAACCTGCAAATCTTGCACGAACAGCTTTCGAAGATTGTGTAGTGTTTGCAATTCTTTGGCTACAGTGACCTCGAGTCCCTTGAGGTCCTTCCTAGCTTGCTCTCGTCTGTCGTTAGTAGCGCTGTAGAATTATATCCGGTTTGAGTCACTGCGACTGCCACACCCACGTGCTCAAGCACATGCATAAAAGTTTGGTTAGGTTTTGATTTTTTTAACGAGACTTTTTTTGAGACCAAAAACATTACGAAATTTTTCGGTTTTGTAGCAATTAGTAATTGTGCGTAATTAACATTTTTATTTTTTGTTTTGTTTTCAATAGCGAATTTGTTATGGTTTAAATAATAAATTCGCTTTGAAAAATTGGTGAAAATATAAAAATTTTAAATCTGTATCACAATAACATTTCATGCATAATAAAAAAAAGGCTAAGCGGATTGTAATGTCTAAAAAATGTATTTAAGAGGGTGTCTAATATATTTAAAGCTGTTTAACGCCTTCATACAACTCAAACCATTTGGGATATCGATAAAATAAGCCTTTCGGCAATATTTTTTAGTAAATGTTGTCATTTTCAATTTAAACAAAAAGGTATGATTTCATATTTAGTCTAATCAAACGGTAACGGATAGCATAAGCGACATTGCACAAAATGAATACTTTTTTCATGGACACTGAACACGAATATAACCTCTAATTTTTCAGAGAAAAAGTTATAAGCCAATAAAAACAGTAACAAGTCATTGTTTTTTAAAATAATTATTTTTTCTATAACGACATCTATGTACAAAAATAAAATTTAACAATATTTTTACTCAAACGAACGATTTATGCTCCATAGCGCTTCCGAATTTTTCAGCCTTGACAGGTGATACTTATTCGAATTTTGGTTGAATACAATATTTTTCGGGAATTTTGTTAAATCACTTTTCACCCTTTTGGCTCCCACAATCCCACATTTTATTTTTTCTATCCTATTTTAATATTTTTAGTATTTACTACATATCATTTATCGATAGCAGCAAATTAGTGATTCAGTGCCATATATACCTAAACCATTAATTAAAAGGGAGTAAATGGAGATTTAACAATGACGAAAAACTATTAGACTAATCCATTCATTCATAATTAAGCCCTTATTTATTGCAAGCATTCAGATTGTTTTTTATATGAAGCAGGCAGAGCTGTCGCATTGGCTGCCGCATTAAAACGAGCGAGACGGCTACTAAATTGAGTGGGGATGGTTTGTGTAAATTTACTTATCTGAGGTACAAGTACGCGTTTTATGAATGAATCAGTACTTTTGATTATGACTTTTGCTTTAACTGCTGTCAATTGTGTACTTTCCTGAAAATTACCTTCAACTATGACAGTTGCAATGACAAAAATACAATAAACTGATAATAACTGGCACAAAATTAGTCTAGTAGTTGTTCGTCGTTGGGATTAAAGTACCAAAAATGAATAATTTTAAGGAATAGGCATCTTTGGCATGGACAGAAATTATTATAAAATAATAATATACGAAGACCGGTTGTTTCGAAATTACTAAAATTGAGATCAAATCACTTTCATGTATCTATTTGACGTAACTGCCTAATCTTTAGGCATATATGTAGTCAACCAAAACGAATAATAGGAATAGACAACTTTAGCAAGTATAGAAATTATTTTAAAATATTATTATTACCCTGCTACCTGCAGTAGCTGCAGCTGTTATAAGAAACGTACGAATCCAAAAAGAAGTACAATGTCACCCAACATCAATTTTTTTTTTCTCTTGGCAAAAATTTCAAGGAAAAAATCGCAACAGCAAACTTTTTACAAAAAAAAAAAAAAAAGTTAGTTTAACGCCCTGTAACTTTGTTGGTAGCCAGTTTTTGATATAGGTAAATATAGCCAAATCCACTTATTTTTTGGTAATCTATCTGAGGAAGAATTTATGACATACCTTTTTGAAACACCCTGTATAGTTGAATTGAAATAAATTGAGTTACCAAAAACCTGCGCAACAATATGTTACCGGTTGTTTTAAAATTTTGTTGGTTATCCAACTCTGGCACTGAACCACTCAAATTTACTATATTTTCAATAATAACTATTTTTTCAATTGATTTTAGGAATATAAATTGTATTGATGAGATCTCACCTAATATTGTGTCAGTAAAAATATCTAACTTTGCTGGAAAGTCACAGTTCACTATATGACATCAGATATTTGTAGACGAAAAATATATTCGAAAACCACATAGCTTGAATATTTTAGGTATTTAAAAAAAAAACACTTTTGTAACAATTTTTTGCTTATAACTTTTTTCAAAAGTCAAGGTGGCAAAGTTTAGTTCGTGTTCAGCACCCTCAAAAACATTCTTTCCAATTTTTTCTGTCTGTGCACTGTATGACTAGGTAATTGTGTTAATTTCTTATTTTTGCGTGTGACGTCGTAGATATAATGTAGTATGACACACGTAAATTAAGAACTTTTGCGCATTCGTTGCAGAGATGGCAAATAAATATAATACAGAGTAAAAAATGTTTGATTCTTTAACTTAGATGGTGTCAAATTATTTTAAACACAAAAATTAAATAATAAAATCCGAGAGAAGTCTAAATGGATTTTTATACCTCAAACAGCTTAAAAGATGTTAAGTTGCGAAACGGCTCAAAATAAATGTTGACAACCCTATAATTATTCTTGAGGCACTTCTACAAATAGATAACAATTTATTGTCTAATATGTTGATGTTTCAACAATCAATCTAATATAGCAAAATAAAAATATTTCATTTGTTTTTATCTAAATAGATGCTGTTTTCACTAAAATATCCATAACCTGTGCAATGAAAATTAACAAAGGCTTAGCTTGTTATATACAATATTTCTTAAATAAGGTTTAAATTGGGATTACGTTAGAACTAGTATCTAAAAAAATATTTTCTAAATGGAACTTAGCTTGATCAAAAAATTATCTAGTTCTTCAACACATATCTCTTATAAGCTGGTGCGCTCTTTGACAAAAAAATATTCTCTAAAGGACCCTTTCCCGATATAGCTAACAAAGATTTTTTTAAGAAACAAAAGTTTTAGAATAATCGATACTTACAAATTATTAATATTTTTCTTTGGTCTGGTCTTGAATATGAAAAAATTTTTTTTTTGAACATAAGTTTAATAGAATGGGTTAAAAGGGATTTATTTGCAGATTAAAAGTTTTTGTTTTGGAAGGATCTTGATAACAAAATAAATGACGTATCTGATAAGAAAATAATCTTTGATGTCATTATTTTGTTTGAATGATCTGTTCTAACATACAAAATGCTTGATTTATAGCCACATAAATGATTAAAAGATAAATACTTATTGCTCGAATTATATTTGGATAGATTATTTCAATGAATCGATACAGTTTTAAATTTGTATACAGGGTGCGGCAAACCTACGTTCTATTATATAAACAATTTTACCGTTTAAAGCATCAGCGTCATCACTAACATATGAAATAAGTAAACATAAAGGGTACCAGATATTTGAAACCTATCTATCAATGTTGATCAAAAATAAAATATCCGAAAATTATTTTCATGCATGTCAAATAGCAAATTAGACAAATTAGTTTTTTTTAATAGAACGACCTAAAGTCTATTCCAATCCGAGATTCAGCGTATGTAAACAATGATCAGCGCGTGATCGCCTCCTGGCTTACTGGAATCTGCAATGCTATTGGTCAAACGGCCATAAACTGCTAGAGCTGCTCTTTACTGTTTTGATGCAGATGCGTACTCAGATTCAGTGCGAAGTGCATCGTCGTTAAATGTGTTGTTTGAATTGAATCTTTTTAAATACCGTTACCATGTAGTTTGAATATTGTGTCTTATTTAAATACTTTGGAAGTATATTAAATAACAGTGTGTTTGCTCCTCGGGCATATCCCGAAACTTTTTATGTATTGTTTAAATACTTGTTTGCAAAGCCCTCAGAATGCTTGGCTTCATCAAGACACATCTAGGTACGTGAATGACACAAAAGCAATCATGACACTTTACAATTGCCTGGTGAGAAGTGTCCTGGAATACTGTTATTTGGCAACCTACTTACACCTGTCATATCAATAGAATTGAAAGGGTGCAACGTAAATTAGTAAAATACCTGCTCTGTAAATACCGATTTCATAGCCATAACACATTTTATCAAATAAGAGTAATGCTTTGCGGCATGCAGAGCCTGGAATGCAGAAGAAAACAGGCTTTTCTCCTATCCCTGGCTAAATTAATAGGTGGTTCCATTAAGTGCGGGTCACTGCTTGAAAGAGTTCAACTATTGGTTCCTGCTCGACGAACTCGGCACACATCACTTTTGAATGTAAAAAGACAGAACCAATTACGGACAAAGTGCATTTATTGATCGCTTATGCAAGAACTATAACTAATTTTACTCGGACTGTGATATATTTAATTGTACTATTTTGGCGCTGAAAAGGGACTTGCAACTCCTGAATGTCCAAGTTTTACTCGTGTCGTCCCCGGTGTTGTTATTCTTCCTTTTTTAAATATTTTATATATTTTTTAATTTATTTTATATTGTTTTTAACTCCTACAATTGTTTGTGTTAGGTTAGATATACTGTACTATGTATTAGGAATTTTACATTCTCTAAGTGCTACATAAATAAATTAATAAATAGACTCTCCAATAATAATTTGGCAACTATGTTGGTTAACAACGTGAATGTTATTCAATTCGTCTTTTGTAAACCAAATTGGTCTAGTAATTGTTCGTATTTGTTCGCATTACTTAGTATGATGTTAGTGAGACAAAAAAATGTTTTTCATTGATTTTGATATACACGTTTCAAGTTTTTCTTTTATATCTACAGGGCGATTCTCAACAACGTTGTCACAATTATTCTGTAGGAAAAATATAGAAATAAAGATTTATATTTTTTCTTTTTGAGGAATTGCATTTTTAGGGCTATTAAAAAAAATATTTCTTTTTCTCGAAAACTATACTGAATCGATTTGTATCAAATTTTGTAAGTATCATCGGACGTGGATTTAAATTGTCCCAAATCATTAGTTTTTCTTTTTTTTTATAGAGTACACTTACTCGCATACCCAAATGATTTTTT